GATATTGTGCGGGTGCGTGATAATAGGGATGAAGAACGATGTTCACAACCATTTGGCAGATTAGGTGAATACATGTAAAAAGGGTTAAGCGTATGTATGTATTCTGTTCATAGTGTTTTATATGAAACAATCGTTTATCCGATATGGGTGTCGTCTTTGCTTACCTATTTATCTTTGATTTGAACCGCTATAGACATATACTTTTCAGATCTAGATCTAGGATGATTACTTGTTAAGTCCTAAACTCTAGACATAGATTTAGGCTTAGCATTTGCATGAGTATCAGTTCTTAATGCTCTGTGTTGTGTTTTTGTTGCGTGGGACATCACCAATGAGACAACACGGTTGTTCTCTCGACGTTGCGTTAGAGATGACCTCTGTCGTGGGTAATACGTGAGGATATTAGACAAATGATTGAGTTGTGTTTAATATGATAAGAAGAGTGCATGTGTTATCAATTGATGAAATTCAATCCCAACAAGGCTCCGTTTATATTTTAGTCTTTACTTTATATTTTCCGTCTTTATATTTTCTGCCTTTTATTCATGGTTCCTTGAACCTTTTAAACCAAACCTTTTGAACAAAGAGTTTACAAATGTAGAGACCGTTGAACGGTGTTCTTTCATCGCACTGATCCCCGTAGAGACGACAAAACTGAGTACTTAATATTTTTTTCTTGCTACTTTACCACTTCAACAATAATCCCGTTTCCGATGAACTTACTACTAATAAAGTTTTGAGGTGTTTAAGTAGGAAATAAAAACCAAAGGTCACCGCTATTAAAGAAGCAAATGATCTTAAGTCACTTGATCTTACAGCTTTTTTTGGTAAGTTGGAAGAATATGAGCAAGAGCTTACTTGCTTAGCAAAATACGAGAAGGAATACAAAAAGCGATCAAAGAGTGGAAAAGAGAAAGACAAAGAAGAAGGGAAGAAGTCCATTGCTGTAAAGACTTCTAGCTCACGGCCTTCTCAAGATGAGCAAAGGGATAGTGAACCTAAAGATGACAATGAATCCGGCGAAGAAGATATGAGATTGTTTATAAAGCGAGTAAATAAATACATGTCAAAATATGGAGACAAATATCCCAACAAGTACCGTGATAAATCAAGAAGGTTATCAAGTTCCTCAAAAGAAGAAGATGATAGCAAAAAGTGAAAGTTACAAAGTACGTGTTACAACTGTGATAAACCCGATCACTTTAAGTTGGAGTGTCCAAAAATCAAGAATGAAATAGGCCTTCATAAAATGTCTAGAAAAGCTAGAAGAGCTTATGCTGCTTGGGAAAATGAAAGTGATTCGTCAAGTGATGATAGCTCTACTTCAAGTGGGGAATCTAACAAGCTTTTCTATATGGAAAACAAAGGAAAGAAAAAGGTTGTAATTCACTCTAAACTTCAAGCTTCTCATGACTTAACTTTTTCTCAACTTCAATAATCCTTTGAGAATCTAATAAGACAAGTCATAGATGCCTTCAAGAGATTAGCATCAAACAAGAGAATCATCTCTCATATGGAAGCTAAGATTGCTGAAAATGAAAGACACGTGGAAGTAATAAGAAAACTTATGCCAAATATTCTACAAGGACAAGATGATGACCCTAGATCTTTGTGGAATTTTAGTTTTGAAACATGTCACATTTGGCAAAAGGAGTCAAGGACTTTTAAAGTTAAGCTTGATAAGGCTTTGCAACCTAAAGTTACACTTGCTATAGATACTTCCAAGTATGACTTACCAGCTCACAATCCGCATCGAAGGTATAGTTACATTAAAAAGGAACCAAATAGCAAAAGGTTATCTTCTCTAAACTTATATTGTCACTACTATTGCAAGAAGGGGAAAACTATCGCAAAGTGCATAGTTAAGAAACTCCATGTTTCTAATTATGTCTTTAAATGAATCCCTAAATGAAATCAAGGTTTTACTAATCTCTAAGGACCCAATGAAGATTGGATACCTAGCACAAGTTGTTAATCATGTAGGAAAAATGTCTTGACTGTATGAAGAGAGTATTAGATCTTGTTTGTAGAACAACAAGGCACAACACGGTAACATGTCCTTATTATTTTAATCCATGTGACTAAAAAGACATATTTTGTTACCAACCAAGTTAACTCTTTGTGATTTTTTAGTGGTAAAAGTGTGTGAATGATTACTAATAAGTTATTTAAGAAGTGTCGGAAGGATGTTATATTCAATTATGCAGGTTATCTTTGACTAGACTTGCCCAAGTACATCAAACTAGGAGTGATCAACCTAAAATGATGAAACATGAAAACAAGCCAGATTATCATCATAGTTTAGCAAATAATCATCAAATGATACTCTTCGATACATTATTAATCTCACTTTCAAATACTTGTGCAAGAAGGAAAGTGGTAAGGACGTTTTGATCTTATTTGTGTTCTGTGGCACGTGTTGCATTCATTTCATCTTTTAAAGGGTTTTTGGGGTTTGCATTCTTCATGTCTTGTATAAACATTTTTCCAAAGAAAACGTTAATAGCACTATCTCAATTCGAATTTAAGTTGAGAGCAGACGTACCCATAGCGAGACTGATTGGGGAACTGCCTAAAAAAATCTTAGTCTCTCTCTTCATCTCTTTATCTCTTTTATTGTTGATTTCTCAATTTATCAAGTTCATCGTTGTTTGATCAATTCGATTGTAAATTGTTTTCTACTATCTTTTAAAGGTTTTGTTGTTGATGATATAATCACAATCACTTTGAATGTGATAGGTTTTTAACATCAACAAAAAAAACTATATTTCCAATTGTTATCGATTTTACATCAAGTGTTCGATAAATTGTTTGTGCGTATTTTGATTGTGTTTTGGTTCATTGGATATACAAGTTACAATTAACATTGCATTTAATTGAATCGTAGCTTGATTGTTGTTGAACATTTACGTTCGTTATCACTCCACTTGATTTGCGATACGTATATTACTTTTCGATAGTATGTTCAGTTAGATGATTCGATCCGGGTCATTTTTCCACTGCACCTTATTTGAAAACAGATTTTTGCCAAAATATTTTGTTTGTAAAATTTGTGATCTATTCAAACCCCCCCCCCCCCTCCCCCCCTCTAGATTAAAGTCTATCGTCTAACACTTCAGAAAATAAAGAGAGTTTTTCTTCTTGGCAAACCTCATGAACCAAACAAAGACCTCCTAAGACAATTCCTTATATCATACAAGAGCTTTTACTTTTTTTACTAGTTTGGCTCACAACCAAAAAACTTCTTATAGAAAAATATTATATCTAAGAAATAATACATTCTTGATAAATTAAACAACTTCTTATAGAAGAATATTATATCCAAGAAATAATACATTCTTGGTAAATTAAAATTAAGCTATCATCCTGAATAATGATGCTCATTTAAACACAAGAATACTCTCGAAGCACTAATGGAAAATATAAGTGGGAAAAACGAAAGATTTATAGAAAATGATAAGAGAGTAGTAAGAAAGTGAGATCAAATATCACTTTCAGTTATTTGAAACGAGAGAGAAGATCTCTATTTATAGGCTAAATTATTTTTTAAATTTGGAAACTATTCATGGGAGAAATGGAATCCACAATCCATTAAGCCAGTTGATTATTGTACCTCAATAATCGATTGTTCAAACTACAAATTGAAGGTTTTGATATTTAGTCATTACCAATCATTAAGAGACTGTTCCAATCGATTTTCGACTTAACCATGTGAAAATAATCTATTAGATGATTAGGCTAATCAAATATTCAATTGTAAAAACTCATCCAATTGATCAGACAATCCCCTAATAAGTTAGATAGGCCTTAAAAGAATTTTCAGATGGTTTTAGGAAAACAAGAGAGGTGTCTCAAAGATTTTTTGTGTGTGGGTGTGTGTGATTTTTCTATAATAATTACAAAATTAACCTCGTGCTTTTACAAGAAACTGCCCACTAAGACAGACACGATTAGGCGAGCTTTCACACTTCCTCTCTTTGATAACTCTGAAGCTTTAAGTCTTGGCATCATTATCTTTGACTTTAGCATCAAATAAGAACCTTGAGTCTTCTAGTTTAGAGAGAGCAAAACAATGAGATAATCTTGAAATAGAAATCTTCACTTGAGTGTCGTTTGATCATAATGTTAACTTCAAAAAAAATGACTTGATCTTAAAGAGTGTCTTCAAAGGATATCTTGATTCAAGAGGCTAGTTTGATAAAACATCTTTAGCATCTTTAAATCCTTGAGCTAAATTCAAGAGACAAAGCTTCATTGAATATCATTTTATATTATATTAGGTGTTGTCATCATCAAAATGAAACAACTAATTAGTTAATTGCAGGTTTTTCTATCAACAAACTCCTCCACCTTAGAATATTTTAAAAATACCTATAAACACATAGATCCGCGTATAACACAACGAGTAATGTTAGGTTCTTTAGTTAGAATAAGTGATTGATGTGGTTCATTGTCCTTTGAACAATTTATAGAACTAAGACTGTGGTTTGGTGATACCTGTATATCAATGCAATCAATTATATTTTGAATGAGTTAAGGAACGTGGTTGTGACAACCTCAATAAAACAAGATGGGAATGTTCAAACATAATATGAGAGCTAGGAAATTCTCTTTCTTCAGAGTCTGGTACAAGAAGATATTTCCAATTGCAGTAGTGCATGCTTATATAAGAGACTAGCTGATACAAAGTAAGCTCATAGATTATAACTAACTCGTGTATAATAACTAACTGTGTTAGTTAACTAACTGATAACCAAAACCTAACTGCTAACAACTGCACAAACTTGAAGGCTGCATAATAACATTTCTCCGTGTCTACTAATTCAAACAATCACAAGATTACAATAGCAACAACCTCAAGTCTACTAATTCAAACAATCACAAGATTACAATAGCAACAACCTCAAGTCTACTAATTCAAACAATCACAAGATTACAAAGAAGAACAAGAAGCTCCGACATTATACACGAGGAAGCAAATCAAATAACAAAAATTATCATTAGGAATCGGAATCACTTTCCTCATCAGAGTAACTTTTATTGACCTTGTTCATAGCAGATTCAAACACACTCTCAAGCTCCTTCAAACAATCCACAAACATAAACGTATCTTCCTGCTTGTTATCATCAATCAAACTTTTTCCCTTAATCATTGCAGAATTGATCTTCACTTTGTCATCAGGGTTGAGCTTGGAACTTACACAATCATCCTTCATTGCTTTCCTCACGGTGTAGAGATAATCGTCCAAAGCATTTATGGCTTTAGCTTTCGTTTTGAACTTCATATCTTGATCCTTGAAATTCTCAGCTTCTTGGATCATTCTCTCAATTTCTTCTCTTGACAATCTTCCATTTTCATTAGTTATTGTAATATCTTTCTTATTACCACTTGTTTCTTCCTCTGCAGAGACGTTTAATATACCATCTGCATCTATAGTAAAGCATACTTTGAAAGGATGTCCCCGAGGAGCAAGTGGAACCTTGAGATTAAACAAACCAAGCAAGTTGTTCTCGGTTGCAATAACTCTTTCACCCTCATAAACCTTAACTGAGACTGAAGATTGGTTATCTGAAGCTGTTTCATAACCTTGTGTTTTCTTGAATGGTACACAAGTATTCCTAGGAATCATCACACTCATAATATCTCCTTCCGTTCTGATACCAAGTGACAAAGGGATAACATCTTGCAGCACCAAATTTGGAACATTCTTACTGCCTTCACTCAACAAAGCAGCTTGGACAGCTGCACCATAAGCAACAGCCTCATCAGGGTTGATGCTCTTGCATAATTCCTTCCCCTTGAAAAACTCTTGCAATAGTTGCTTCACTTTGGGAATCCTAGAAGACCCACCAACAAGGACAATGTCATCAACCCTACTCTTGTCCATCTTTGAATCAAGCAAACAACTTTCAACTGTTTCCATACACTTTTCAAAGAGGTCCATATTCAGTTGCTCAAACTTGGCCCGAGTAATTGATGAACAGAAGTCAATACCCTCACATATTACATCTATATCGATCGTTGCATCAGTATCGTATGAAAGTGTTCTTTTTGCCCTCTCGCAGGCAGTTCTCAATCTCCTCAAGGCTTTTGAGTTTCCACTAATGTCAACTTTGTTCTTTCTCTTAAACTCCTTCACAAAGTGATTCAGCATTCGATTATCAAAGTCCTCTCCTCCCAGGCGAGTGTCACCAGCAGTGGCCTTGACATCAAAGGAATTATTCTTAATTGTAAGGAGAGACACATCAAAAGTTCCTCCACCAAGATCAAAGATGAAAATAGTTCTCTCTCCAACACAATTAGCTCTCTTTTGAAGTCCATATGCAAGAGCCGCCGCAGTTGGCTCATTGATTATCCTCATAACATTGAGACCAGCAATATCACCTGCATCTTTGGTAGCTCTTCGCTGTGAATCATTAAAATATGCAGGTACCGTAATCACTGCATTCTTAACAGGTGATTCCAAAAAAGCCCCTGCAATCTCTCGCATCTGTGTGAGAATCATGGCTGATATTTCCTCGGGAACAAGGTGTTTTTCCTTACCCTGATAACTCACGAGGATCGTAGGCTTGTCATTATCACCGGAAACGACCTTAAAGGGCCACAATAGAATATCATTCTGAGTAACATCGCTATATTTCCTTCCAATCAACCTCTTAGCATCTGAAAATATTAAAGTGGTGCAAATATATTTAACCTAATAACTAAAAAGTAAACACAAGAACCATAATAAATGAGTTACCAAAGACAGTGTTGGTTGGGTTGGAGGAAGCTTGATTCTTAGCAGCATCACCGATCAATCTTTGAGAATTAGTGAAAGCAACACAAGAAGGTGTGGTTCTGTTTCCTTGATCATTGTGAATGATTTCAACGCGATTGTTTTGCTCCTGCCACACTCCAACACATGAGTAGGTGGTGCCAAGGTCAATTCCTATAGCAACTCCCTCGTATTTCTTGGCCATTCTCTATCAAATGAATGAAAGTGTATGATTTTAGCGGGTTTCAAACTTGGGAAGAGATATAATAATAGTACAACTTTTTATGTGGTTGGCATTGGTCTTGATAAAAGGGCACATAATCTTCTTTGTCAGTTCCCATTGTATGCGTATGGAAATTGAGTAGAAAAAAAACAGTGATATTTGTGTCTTTTGGTTGGTTGATCTGTTTTTGAGCTTTTCAAACTACTTTTGTATTTATAATTTTTTTCATTTTATTTATTTATTGTTTTATGCAAGAATAAGAATGCTAGAATTTTTTTTAATATAATATATTTTTTCAATTATTTTTAAATTTTTTATTTTTGATATTTGTTTAAACCTACATTGTTAATTTTTGATATTTGATATTTGTTGAAAAAAAATATATAATTCTAAAAAATAATAAATTTTGTAAGGTTATTTAAAGCATGTCATATGTGGTTCGTACTATTTTATTTTTTTATAAATAAGACTGCACACTCATATAGTTTTTCACAACAATTTTTACCAATAGACTCAAGTCTTTATAATTTTGAATTAGTCTAGAATCTCTGCATTTCTAAATCAACGTTCGTCGTCGTCGTCATCACCATCGGAGGAACCGTTTCCAACATTTCCTCTAATGAAAAGAAACGCCCTAGTTTATTTTTCAGCAACAAAGTCTCTGATGATGGTGCTACTGTGGAACACCCAGACTTTGGAGCATTTGCATAGGGAACTGAACCATTGGCTAGAAGGAAAAGATTAGGAAAATTGAGAGGTTGGTTGAGGAGTCAGGGAGAAACGGAGTTACTCGTGATTGGAGAAAAGTGGAAAATGATGTTGGTGTCCTTGTGATGATGTTAACACCAAAAAAGATAACGTTGATGGTTGTAATATCCTAGACAACTTGATGCATTGTTCTGTTTTATGTGAGTTTGTTGTTGTTATTTTCGGAATGTTGTTGTGATGTTAAGTTATGTTTGTTTAATTTATGTTGCTTGTTAATTGTAATCGCTTAACTATGCTTTAAATGGAATGAAATTTGTTGTTGATTTAAAGGGACACGGTTACATTAGAAACTATGATCTTGTGCTTGATCCTACATTAGGATATTTTGTATGATTGTGTCCTAGTTGCCGACACGAACTACATAATCTGACCATTTTGTTTGTTGCATCCATCTTCGTTCGAATGTGCGTGTTATTAGGGCGATCCATTTTATTTCTTTGCATCAATTCATTATGCCAAACAATTTCGCCTTTGTATAGAGGTCAATAGTCCTCATTTGCCACCACTTGAAAGCTACATGTGTAGACATTGCATAGACTTATCACTTGATGAACAACAGAAAGAAAGTTGGTTGGGTCCTGGAGCGCTTTCGAACATGTTGCTATAACATGAGAGCAAGACATGCGAAATGCCTGAAACTTTCCACAATCACACCAATTCCTATCCAGTTCCACTCGGTAACATCCCCTAGGCCTTCCTTCATTGTGATGAATTGACTCGGCAACACTGAACCAACCTTTATTACGGTCAAAGATTGTAACCACATGTGTGTTGGCTTTGGCAGCTTCGTCTTTCATGAATTTTGTTGAACTATTACTGTACAGCTGACCAGATTGTAATACTGAACCCCACTTTATACGTCTATTATCAAAGAGTGCCCCGAGCCTAAAATATGTTGCCTTTACCGAGGTAGTTATCGGTAGGTTTCTGATTCCCTTAAAAACATAATTCATTGATTCAACAAGGTTAGTTGTCATGTGGCCCCATCGCACCCCATTGTCGTATGCTCATGTCCATTTCTCTTTATCAATATTATCAATCCATCTTAATGCATATGTGTTTGTCAGTCTGATCTCGTCACGATAGTGTTTGAATGTGGGCTCTATTAGTGCATATCTTGGGTTCAGAACCTTTTTCCTTAGTGTTTTGTCTTTGATTTCCCGCATGAAATTTTGGGTGATATGTCTTATGCAATACACATGGGTCCTGTCAACCGTTATCAAGGTTCTTGTATGAACTCTCGATTGATGGGTGTCTATCAGAGATCAAACATAAGTTAGGTTGGGGAGAAACATAAAAGCGGAGATTTTTTAGGAAAAACTCCAACCCCCCAACAGTCTCCCCTTCAACTAGAGCGAAGGCTATTGGAAAAATGTTGTTGTTCTAGTCCTGTGCCACAGTCATGAGTAGCATGTCCTTATATTTCCCGTACAACCATGTGCCATCAACTTGAATTATAGGTTTACAATAAGCAAAGCCTTTGATACATGGTTCAAATGCCAAGAAGAGTCTGTAAAAAATGTCATTTCCACTAACGCAACTCCCGTCTGGTGTACACGCCGGCATTGTCTCCAATATGGAAACAGTCCCTGGAGAATATTGATTAAGAGACACCAAGAATTTTGGAAGTTATTTGTAAGACTCCTCCTAATTTCGAAACACCCTTTCAACCGCTTTAGTCCTAGCTATCCATGCTTTCCAGTATGAAGGAGTGTAATTGTACCTTTGAACCATATGTGAAATTATGGTACTCACCTTCAAAGAAGGGTTGTCACTAATGACCGATACAATGTTATCACAAATCAATTGAGAGTTGAGCTTGAGATGGTCTTGCATCAGATTCGTGATTATACAAGTGTGGGCTAGACCCATTGACCCTATCTTCCATGAATCACTTCTCTTTCGGAAAGACACTGTTAATCGGAATGGACACACCTCATTATGACAATAGATCTTATACAGAGTCGGATTTGTTCGATCGACTCTATAATCTGTTGATAAGTTCATGTGATATTGTTTAATTGCTCGGACACAATCTTCTTTTGTACGAAAGTCGTCGCCCTCTTTTAATAGTCTTTCTGTTGCGTAGTTAGGGTTGTAAAAAATATCTATTGAGGGTTCACCGTCACCTAAGTCGAGAGTTATCATGTGTTGAGGTGGGCAATAAACATGACTGGGTGGAACCCCTCTTCCTCGATATTTACCATGTCGTCAACAATGACTTCAGCTGCTTCTTCTTCATCATCAATGGCATTGACTTTAGCGTGTTCCTCATCAAATTCGTAAAAAACTTGAGAAGAATCAAGTTGTTGAGACAATTGTTGTTGTAATGTAACACATGGCACAATATCTGAGAAACCAGAATACTCATGACTGCGGAACATGCTACACACATCTTCATTGTCTCGAATCTTTAATGGGAAAAATTTACATTGATCATGCCCGCCAAAGAACACAGGATTCTTGTAGATTATTTGGCCAACTAGACCACATTGTAATTTCTTTTCTAATCTCGACTTCAAGTGTAAAAAATTTGACCTTCTGTCAATCAAAAATCTAGTAACATCAGTATTTCGAAAATTGAAACCGACTAAGTTACATTCAAAAACATCACCGTCTAAATGTGCATTAATCATGTATTATGGTGTTTTAGCCATATCTAAAATTTTAGTAAACTTGTGTTTGAAGGGATTGTTTAACTAATTGATATGATAATAAATCAGTTATCTCTAATGTATTAATAGAAATAAAATGTTGCTTTTTATTATTAGATCTGCAAGGTGAGCTGCGTGACAAGACTAAACCCTGCGTGCCTACAAGGTGAGCTGCATGACAAGACTAAACCTTGCGTGCCTATCGTCTACATTCTGCATGCCTACCGTCTGCACCCTGCATGCCTACTGTCTACCCTCTGATTCTATGCTTACCTACATGATTCTCTGCATGACTACACTCTACACTCTGCGTGCCTACCGTCTGCACTCTACATGCCTACCGTATGCACTCTGCATGCCTACCTTCTACACTCTGATTCTATGCATGCCTACAAGATTCTTACCATGTCTACACTCTACACTCTGCATGCCTACCGTCTGCACTCTGCATGCCTACCATCTACACTCTAATTCTATGCATGCCTACAAGATTCTTACTAATAAATTCATTTTTCCAACATTGCTATCAAGTTAGCATGGTTTGTTGTCACCGTCTTTTGTCCCTCATCGAGTGTTGAACGTACCTCCGAAACCTCACTCTCTAAAACTTCGACCCTAGCTTCCATCTTTGTGAACGCTGGAAACGTCACCTTCTTAGGTGGCATTCACCGGCTCTGTCGTCAAATATCTGGTAGGTCGGACCAATTTATTGGAAACCCAGCAAGCATAGACAAAAATATTAAGAAAAAAAAAGCAGCCACACACACAAACAAAATGATTGTTTTATTAATTGATGAAATAGTGGAATTACAGAAAGGGAAATGACTCTAGATCTGACACAGAGCAAGCTCCTATAGGTGGCTAGAGCCTCCTATTCATGACTAAGGAAACAAAATATTTTCCAAGGCAGTCCTTTCAACCTCTCACCCAATCCTTATATTGTGGAATCGTACAATCATTCTCTCTCTGCACCTCTAACAGAATTATTGCTCTTTCCCCCTTTTTCCCCTTCTAGAATACACTCTCCATACCTTAGGCCCATTGGGCTGATGATAAACCATAACCTCATTTGTCTCATTCCCTGTCACATGGTCTCTATCAACATACATATACACACACAAAAATATGAAAATTATAATACATGGACAAAATAACCTATAAGTTACTATATCCAACTAATTAAGATAATAACTCATAACTATCATTCCGTAACTTAACAAGTTCAAAAGACTTTTTAAGTGCACATAATCTTCTTTGTCAGTTCCTATCGTATGCGTATGGAAATTGAGTAGAAAAAAAGTGATATTTGTGTCTTTTGGTTGGTTGATATGTTTTTGAGCTTTTCAAACTACTTTTGTATTTATAATTTTTTTTTCCTTTTATTTATTTATTGTTTTATGCAAGCATAAGAATGCTAGAATTTTTTTCCTTTTGGTTGGTTGATTATGTGCACTCTGATTCTATGCATGCCTACAAGATTCTTACCATGTCTACACTCTAAACTCCGCATGCCTACCGTCTAGACTCTGTATGCCTACAGTCTACACTTTGATTCTATGC